CTAGACAGCATTCCAGCAGAGGCACTGAAAGCAGACGTAGCGGCAACTGCAAGGATACTCCAAACTCTCTTCAGAAAGATCTGGGATGAGGAACAGGTACCAAAAGACTGGAAAGAAGGACTTCTAGTCAAAATACCAAAGAAAGGCGATCTCAGCAACTGTGACAACTACAGTGGAATCACTCTTCTTTCAATACCAGGAAAGGTCTTCGACAGGGTATTGTTAAACAGGATGAAGGACTCCGTAGACGCCCAACTTCGAGACCAACAGGCAGGATTCCGTAAGGATGGATGGTGCACAGACCAAATCGCAACTCTACGGATCATTGTGGAACAATCAATTGAATGAAATTCATCACTCTATATCAATTTCATCGACTACGAAAAAGCATTTGATAGCGTGGACAGAACAACCCTATGGAAGCTTCTTCGACACTACGGCGTGCCTCAGAAGATAGTCAATATCATACAGAATTCCTATGATGGATTAAACTGCAAAATCGTGCATGGAGGACTGTTGACAAAGTTGTTCGAAGTAACTGCCGGTGTCAGGTAAGGTTGCTTACTCTCACCCTTTCTCTTTCTCCTGGTGATCGACTGGATCATGAAGACGTCAACATCTGAAGGGAAGCACGGGATACAGTGGATAGCTAGGATGCAGCTGAACGATCTAGACTTCGCAGATGATCTGGCTCTTCTATCGCATACGCAACAACAAATGCAGGAGAAGACAACCAGTGTAGCAGAAGCCTCAGCAGCAATAGGTCTCAATATACACAAAGGGAAAAGCAAGATTCTTCGATACAACACAGCATGTACCAATCCAATCACAATTGACGGAGAAGCTTTGGAAGATGTAAAAACCTTTACATATTTGGGCAGTATCATCGATGAACACGGTGGATCTGATGCAGATGTGAAGGCACGGATTGGCAAAGCAAGAGCAGCATATTTACAACTGAAGAATATCTGGAACTCAAAACAATTAGCAACCAACACCAAGGTCAGAATTTTCATTACAAATGTCAAGACAGTTCTACTGTATGAGGCGGAAACCTGGAAAACTACGAAATCCATCGTCCAAAAGATACAGGTGTTTATTAACAGTTGTCTACGCAAAATACTTCAGATCCGCTGGCCGGACACTATAAGCAACAACCTACTGTGGGAGAGAACAAATCAGATCCCAGTGGAGGAAGAAATCAGGAAGAAGCGCTGGAAGTGGATAGAACACACATTGAGGAAAGCATCGAACTGTGTCACAAGACAAGCCCTCATATGGAATCCTCAAGATCGAAGGAGGAGAGGAAGACAAAAGAATACATTACACCGGGAAATGGAGATAGACATGAGGAGAATGAACAAGAATTGGATGGAACTAGAAAAGAAGGCCCAGGACAAAGTGGGTTGGAGAATGCTGGTCGGCGGCCTATGCTCCTTTGGGAGTAACAGGCGTAATTAAGTAAGTAATGATTCCTAAGTCTATCATATGGTCAAATTCGTTTTTCGCCAACCTTAACATTTCGGGGGCCAGTCGGCTTGCTTTAGAGATTACAGGTGACCCTGTAGTCGTGATGTGCTGTGTAACGTTGCTGGTTACACACGGCAATTTTGATTGCGGTTGGTAAATGCCAGAATACTCATCGAGTAGTGGTTAATAGAAGGGGTCTATCGTGTGCTTAATAGTGACTGGAGATAACCTGCAACCAGAAAAAGTCAGGCAAACAGATAAATTAGTATTTCCATCTACTAGCCTCATTTTGCGCGTATCGATAATTAAGTTGTGGTGTTGTAGAAGGTCCATACCAATGATTGGCGTAGAAACATCCGCAACAACAAAGATCCAGTGAATGGGTTTGCGTAAACCCATGTTAAGATAAACGCACCTTTTGCCATACGTAGCGATAGGCTTTCCGTTTGCAGCCTGTAGATTTAAAACCGATTCGTGAAGCCGGTCGTTGGAATTTTCTGGGAGAACGCTAACTTCTGCGCCAGTATCAACGAGGTAGAGACCTCTCGTTATCACATCAGTGACATATAATAGACGGCTAAGTTCGCCAGCTACGGTTGCCGTTAACGCGTGCCGGCTTAGAAGTTTCCCGAAACATTTTTCATGTCGACCGAAAAATCGCAGGGTTTTCTGCAATTTCTGGCGGACTTTCCGTACTGGTTATGGTACCAGCACCAATCAGGATCACCCGTCTCTCGAGTTCTAGATACAGATAGCCTACGTGATGTGCTTCTCCGCGGGGTAAGTGATCGCTTACGGTCGTTACAGAGTTTGAGATAAAGCATAAGTGCATGACATAACTGTGTTATGTCATTCTGGGTCGTTTGAGGTTTTTCTTTGACTGAAAAAACCTCGGCGTTAGAAGATCTAATGATTTCGAGAATGCGGTCGGCAGATGCAGCCAGCTCGTCTACGGCGCTGTTTTGGAACGAGACCAGCACATCTTGCACCTGTTGAAGAAGTTTTGATAAGAGTTGTTTGAACAGGCCATCATCGAAGGTTCTTTGGCCAATAACTTCTCTCATTCTTTGCAACATGTCTGTGGCAGAGCCGTGTTGCAGGTCGATGTTGTTAATGAGTTGGTCTAACCCTTGTCGATCGGTTAGATCCCCGCGTTTAAGGATGGCACGTTTGAGGGTTTCGTATAGGTCAGAAACATCACTAGCAAACATACTAGGTGTTACGTACCTGTTGAATTCGCGCGGTAGTGCCTTGACTACTGCGAGGAATTGTGTACGCGTATCGTTCACACCGTGCTCGAAGAAGTCGGCTTCTGCGTAGCAAAACCAGGCTTCGATGTTGTCTGGCCAGAAAGGCATAAGTTGGAACGAAGGTGGGGACACAGTCTTTAACTTAAATACCTTAGGTGTCTGTTCAGTCATAGTAATATATCAAGTACGAAAAGTGAACGAGTGGGAAATATATATATAAACCCAAAAACACGGTGAAAAAATATCACAATGTATGAAAAATTAAAATAAGACAATGATATATAAAATCACAAAAAGGAACAGACTCACAGTTTACAATATGGTGTACCAGATCACGTCGGGCTCACCAATGAAGATGCCACAGGTATTCGGAGTTTGACAACGCTTTAACCAGTAACACCTAATACGAAGCGCACCCACCAAGTAAAATCAAAAGACAGAAGTGAGGAGATCGAAGATATATTTGATAAGCTATCAATATATCGAGGATCGTTTGGACTAATCTGGCTAGCGATTGCGGCAGATGTTGAGCACGGCGTTCCCACACGTGATCTGGTGCGGATGCTTAACCGAGCGCCTCCAGCTAAATGAGTCCACTAAAACTGTGGTCAGCATCCAATGTCGAAAACTTACAGAGCTATTTGATTTTGGGAAATTATTTACCGCTACAACCACTTCTCAAAAATTATCATTTCCTGAAATGCATAAAATCATATGGAACTATAGATGTTAAAATAATTGTCTTCGTACAAAAGTTGTAAATACAATTATATATATATATATATATATATATATATATATATATGGTTGGCCAATTATCACTACGATGATAAGCGAAATAGGGTCAATATACACTAACTTTCGAAGTGTGGTGTTCGAATGAATTAATGATTCCTTTTTACTTGTTGAATGCCTGATTTTGAATTCTGAATACAATACATTCGTTCGTTCTTATCTAGTAGTTCTTGATCCATTTACGTGATTTCTGGGATTATTAGTCGATACTATAATTCAAACACTTCTATTTATCATAAGAAGTTAAGAAATACTCCGTTATTCAGGGCACAAGTCAGGGCCAATTTGAACAATCGTGCATACAAACGTACATGAAATTTATGTTAAAGATAATCTCATTGATTTATCGGAAGGTTTACCTGTAAGCCAAAGCAGAAAACGCATAAAACAAGACATATGTTTTCGAAACTGGGCTCACGCATTTGATGATGAAAGTTACTTTCGTTTCCCATTTGGAAGTTGCCAGATTGATGTTTATAGCATGGTTTTATTCAGATCGTGAAACAGAACGTATTCATCCCAATGTTATAATCTTACACGCACAAAAGTTTCAACATTTGATATAGGGTAATTAAAAATATGATGTCTACGCGGAATAAGAATGTAAATATATACTTTAACTTAAGTGTTTAATATCAGCAAGATATCTCCAGCCAATTCTTAACCATCCAACTTGAGTTCTTATATGATCACTAACCGTAATTTCCCAACTCAAATTTAATCCCTGTCCAGCTCAAGCTTTGTCATGAAGTTAAAGATAAGGTCCTAATAAAATTTAACTTAATATTTTGTTCTACTTTTCGTCCCTACATCCTTAGTTCGTAGGAACGTTTACGAATACTTCCGATTATCATAAATAAAGTGAAAAAATCTGTATTTTTCGGATGTTTAAGAATAATATGTCGGTTTTACGTCAATTGCAGAGGAGTTGTCGATCATATAAGTGGAATCTAATAGTCGATTTTGTTGCGAAAGTGTAGTGGATTCAAACCCCACCATGAAACATCCACCACGTTTGGGTAAATGTAGGTTAGATATCAGAACAATGAACGCTTAATGTTTGATGATAGCCAACATGGGAACCCGATTAAGGTTTTGTAGCTCGACCATGCAAGCGTATTTAAAATTCCCCCCTATATTTATGACAAGTATAATACTCTATCAGAAAACTTGGATGCGTCCCTAAAATCTCTCTAGGAACATTATCCATGACAATCAAGAATCAGCATGGGCATTGATGTGTCTCCTACATAAGATCAAGAGGGTCAGGCGGAGGTGTTATTGCAAGGGAATTACAGCATACTAGATCTGTTACCCTATTGGCATGATTAAGTTAACTGTAGAAGATTATAGACATGGCAGTGTTCCGGATAAGTTCAAAACAGTCTTATCTTTAGAATGCCATAACAAAAAATCGATTTAAAGTTTTCACATAGCGTTTGACAGTCTATGAAAATTAGTCATGAAATATTGGATATTGTATACATTGTTTTAAGCTGCTACCTCTAGGATCTTTCGTTAAATAAAACGAATTGTGTTGTATGTTGTCGTGGTGTGTGATGCTCCAACAACTTTTCCTTCTCACCAAAGTTTGTAGCTGACTGCAAAGTAGATTGTATCTTATGTGTTTAAAAGCCACAGGTGATATTATCATTCAGAATATCTATTGATGCAGAGCCCTAAAATTATTTTAAATATTGACGAATATATTATGCTTAGATATATTCAGTAGCGTTATCTAGTTCTAAAATTTTTTAATCCGTTTTTCTTTTTCTACTTTAAATTAACGTTAACATTGCGATTACTTGACAAACCGTTTATCAGAAAAATGTTATAGATTGTATAGATATTCATTTTTAGATCGTTATCTCAGGTTATATTTTCTTACTGAACGAGCGTTTACTGGTTATTATTCATGGTAACTTGCTGTCATTGTCAAATTATTTTATTTTGTTAATCACAACGGTGTCGTTAAATGGAACGGAGCTTCTCTATGTTTCACTTGGGATATGATGTTTAAACATATACACTTTATTAGTAATATTGAAGGCAGAAGATTTACTACGTTTAAGGCCTAAGCAGAGTAATTCTTCTCATTTTATATCTTTAACTATAATTTCTTCATTGATGGTTTCTGACCATATTTGCCTGTGGTTCCACATCCAATTTGTGTTGAAAACAGAAGGCCGACAACCTGCGTTAATTCACTTCTAGTACACTTCTCCAGTAGCCTGATCTTGTTTTGAACAAGAAAGTTAAGAGCGTAGACATAACTTTCTCCCTTTATCAAGTTTCAAGATATGATTAGGGTTAAGATGGTTTTGTTAGCTCTTTAGTTGTGAACTTATCTGTTATATGCTCTGAGTCGAACTGAATTAGATGGAAGAAAAACGGATGATATATCGGACCCAAAGTCATCTTTCATCGTTTATGGCATCATAACTTAGTCACATTGCATTTGGCTATAATACAAATTAAAACGGATAAATATTTTAGATCCGCGTTGTACTGGGAAGTCACGGTGTTCCGGATATGAATGAGCCATTATCCTTTTTACATTATATTAAAGGTATAAATTAAGTACCAAACAGTGGCTTTCTGGTCTAAACAAGGTTTATAGTTTCACATCACTTGAACTATATACACAATGGTGAACATATATCTAACTAGGTTCATTTCCGTCTTAAAACCTGCAAGTTTACAGTTTTTTAGTAGCATATGAATACTAAAGGGATTTATTTAAATGGTTTAGACCCTCTAAAATCCATGGATTATTGTGATATACGCTCAAAAATGCCAGAAACTCTCTTTCGTTAGTTATTTTCTTCAGCCTATCCACCCTCCAGATTGACAAACTAACTCACTTTGTTAAAAATCAGAATTTAGACTACCTTACAGTAATTTCATGCCTGACTGGGAGGCACATACATGTGTATCTTTTGTCACTTTCCTCAAGATTTCGACTTGATCCCTGCTAAGAAGTATTACAAATGCGACGGTACGTAAGATTTTACTTGCTCAGAGCATATATAGTTAGTGATCTGGAACCTAGCCTTGTAGAGCTCCATTGAGTACTTGTTCCATAGGTGATCATTTAGTGCCTATTCTTTCTTTCCGCTGTATCCCTTCCAAAATGTGATTGGTTCATTTTGGCAAAAAACCGGATACTCTTAAAATTCTCAGCCCCGTTACGATTGTTTTATGATGCTCAGTATCAGAAGCTTTACAGAAGTCAGCGTGGATAATATTTGTAGCTTTATGATTCGCAAACAACTTCTCTCTTGCCATCAAAATGCTTGTTATGAATGATAATTCATTTCTGAAATCACGTTGCGTACTTTTTATTAATTTATTTGTCTTTATGATTGTCATGATAGCTTTTTGGTCATTATCTCAACATTTTAACAACAATATTAGTGGAACTAAGAGGTGCGAGGTTTGATGAACTTTATCTTTATATTATGTTGTGAACCGGAGTGATATACCTACTCTTCAGTTTAGTGGTTATTCATTACAACCGCGAGATATTTTGAATATGGTAGAGAGTAAGTTGAAAGCTATCTAAAAATTCTGAGGTAAAACGCACTCGGAAATGTTTATTTCTCTGTGTTTAAAGAGCTGACTGTGCGATTCTAGTTGAAATCCACAGTGAGTATCCAGTATTGTTAAATTGCATCCGTAGCTAGCCTTAAATCATGGGTTGCACACAAATAAAAACCGTTGCACAGTAACCAGTAATAACTTCTGCTTGGTCTTCTTCCTCAACTGCCTCCTGACATTTACTAACATCTGTAACTGAGTTACCGTCTCAAAGAATCTTTATTGTTCTGTGATCGACATACAACATTGGCCTCTCTCGTCGTTTGGTTTCAGTTTCAACCAATTCATTTTTGTATTTTATCTGGGCAACATGAGTTGTGCTGATGCATTTACTACGACTAATGGAGACGTCATATAGTTTTTTACTTCAAACACAATAAGCGGCAGCGCTATCTCGTCTTTGAAAATGTTTGAGGATGTCTTTATGTTTGCCTTCCATAAATTAGGATGGGTCAACTCGTCTGTTTGTTAAAGCCCTACAGTAATGACTCTATGATCACTGCGTAATCAGTTATTCTTATAAATGGAAGGCACTTAATTTGACTTACATCATCACCATGAGTGAAAACTGAGTCCGGCACAGAAGATTGTCCATACCTAGAGAGATATACAAAAAGCTGGAAAAAGCTTGGTATTTGTTCAACAAACCTATTTGGAATAGATCGATATTTTTAAAAGTCTTTAGCTGACAATCGGACATATATCTTTTATGTTGGGATTCACCGGATAAAACAAAGCAAGAAATAACTGATTGCTAGGTATCTTGCAACTATCACCACAAAACAATAATTGAGAAAGGTAAAAATGGTTGGGGGCAACGGTGTGTTTGAGTATGAGTAAAGATAACGTAAAGTGGAATATTTAAGTCAGTTGTCAAAGGAACGATGGCAATCTAACGTGGGTTTGTTCTTTGATATAGCTCCAGTGCTTCATTTAAGGACTTAAGCCAGTAACTTTCCACCAAACTAACAAGATCCTTACTGTAAATGCATATGTGATCATTCATTTCATGAATTTATGTACATACACATAATGAACGGTTTTTGAATCCTGAATCGCTTTGGTTCCAGGTGCTATGAACAAACAGGTTAACTAAAAACCTTTTTGACATTTAATTTTAGGTGATACCAAAACAAAATAATATGACTCAAGAAAATGAAAAAATGAATCCTTGTGATATAGGTAAATCATTAAAATGTTACTAAAGATAATAATATATTTCAAGATGAAGTAGAAGTCAGTTCGGATACATCTGAAAAGGAAGCCAACGAATCCAAAACACACGGATCATTAGAGAATTTTGTTCCACAAATATACCGTGCTAAATTCTTCGGAAATACTTCCGTCTCTGAGCCCCGTGGTGACTTTATTTGCGAAAGATCACTTGGATTACTTAAAACTCAGTTGCTTACATCAAAATTACACAAGAAAAGAATTAGGATACGTGTAGACACCAGTGGAATTAGTGTTATTAGCTCACGAAATTCGGTAAGTTGGATTGATTTTTATAATACATGCGGTGACAGTAAAAAACAGTCTGACTCTTGAAACAGCGATTGATTATAATGGTTAATTAGTACCGCCAGAGCGTTTACTTGGCAAAAAATAGCCAATTTTAATAAAAACGCAGTAAAAAACAACAACATAATTTGTAAACCTGGTGATATTCACTTTAAGAGCCGCTTTCTAAAAGTAAGGTTCTGTGTAAAAAAAAGAAATAAAATATGGGAATCGGCAGATATTTTTGAGGTCTAGTTGCAATTAACTATGATCCTTCGAAAATATTTAGTGCCACATATCTCTTTGAATGAAGGCCTTAATTTGTATAAATGTATATCAGTATCCAGATACATAACGAAAAGTTTTGTATTGTAACGATAGTAAGAGTGAATGGTAGAGTCTACACTGGATGATTTAATCACTTTTCGGATGTAAAGAACCAAATCTCACTATTCTTATGTAATTCTCTTCATAATCATCCAGAATGTTTCTTGAAATCTCGATATAATTTGTACGAATGTTGCAAAAAATTGTGCATGCAAGTAATACCTTATTGAGTTCAATAATGCAAGACCGTAATCAAAAACATTTGTTATTTATATGGAGATATGAAGTTGGAACAATAAAATATTTAGTGCTTTATTATTCAAGATTAAACGCCACATATTTAAGCCACTTGTAAGTTTGGTCACAGGATAACTGCCTTAATATTTCTCCAATCAAACTATAAGTAACTGATATTGACATATTGAACCGTACTTCAGGTCAACATCTGCTCGAACAATAACAAACAAACATCTGTTTACTACTATATACCATCAGGATTCTTTGAGTTAAAATAATGGCAAGAATTTGAACTAACAGCGTTAGCACTGTTGATTTCAGTAATCTTTACAATTAACTGGTCTGTGACCAGTTGGCAAATAAAGTTTGATTTCCCCTCAAAGTCTTCAGTTAAGGTAATCTAAAGTACAACTAACGAATTAGACCTTAAACTGTCACCTTATACATGATGTTCAGTACTAATAATTGTCAACGGAAGAAAATCCTAGGAATTCAACTAATTTATATCCTTAATTACATGGTATGACTCCCTGAAGAGTAAGAGACAGAAGACCTAAATAGTAATAAGTTTAACAATAACTCTTTATACATGAGACGATTAGTTTATGATAATTGTTGAAACTATTTAAAATCAACAATTATAATTTAATAACGATCAAGCTATTAAATTCAGTTTTGAGCCAAGTAAGCAGTCGATGTTTTTTTTTAGATTTTACACGCTAGACACTTGTAAATTCACCAGACAATAATAACTGTAAAAATGTTAAATCACTTGATCTAGTGTGTTAGTAAATCCGTTAAACCTACGATACTTCAAACTCATACAAAAGGTTTGATAAATAATGTACAACCAGTAATGATACATTTACTACACGATTTACAATAATGTAATCTTTTAATTTTATGATCATCTTCGATTAATTGATTAACGTTTAAAGTCAGATACATGATTGATTTCGTTGATGTTCATTATTAAATATAAACAATCACAATTAAACTGGCTTTCATCTTTATATATATATATATATATATATATATATATATATATATATATATATATTTGTTCACATTAACATATCGAATGAACAAATAAACAGCTAAAATATCTTGAATGTATATAACATAAATATTTTGAATTGAATTTTAACTAAACACAACATTTTTTTCTCGTCCTGATTTTTGTTGTTGTTTGTTTTTATTTTCATTTCAACATTATTTCAGACAGTACATCACGTGCATAAATTTGAAAATATTACATTCATTTGGACTGACCCCTGTGATTTACAATCATGTGGAATTATAGTTAAACAAACATTAATTGGGGATAATGTTCATCAATTTTATGGTTACAAACTTTATCAAAATGTAAGTTTAAATGACTAATTTATTGGTTTCGCTGAAACAGTTTATTTACAAAATGAATAATGACGAATATTGTTACTATCTACTTAATTCTATCTAATCCATATGGATCAAAATTATGTTTAATTGGTTTTGTAATACAAGTTGTTAAATAAAATATTCCTTAAATTTATTTAAATCTATTACAGAGAAATTGTAGACATCTATCATAAGTTTGTCCTGATGATGTCGTTCAGAAGAACGATGAAAGCTTCAGGATTAAACCATCTAGCTCAGAGAACAAAACTCCATCAAAATAGAGAAAATATTTCGAGGTATAGCAGAACATGAAATGTTTAACTGCGAAACAACGAAATGAAAATTGCTACAATTCAAACTATATAATAGTGATTTACTGTAGAAAAACAGGAAATTTATATAAAGTGTGAAACAAATGATTCGATCCTTGTTTTTATTCAGTTTTCCTTGTTTCGGATTTGAAAAAATTCATTGGAATAATCTGATAAATAGTCACTGTTAGTTAATAAACCAAAGTCCTGATATCAATTATAATTTGTTATGTTGAGCGTGTGTGAGATCCAAGGTGTTTTTAAATTAATTAGTACATTTGAGCCTATATAGTCATTGCTATAAGATTTTTTCTCTGTGATAGTGTTGTTTTAATGTTTAAAAAGTCACACATCTTTTACATCACTTTAACCTGTTTTTCAAAGATGAGTAGTGTTTCACAACAGTGTAAAAATTTAGCAATTCATGAAAATAAGACATCTGATTGTCTTTACTATTTAATTCAGGATAATCTGATCTTGTTATTATTTTCTAGGATTCGTGGAATGTAGAATTTTGATTTAATTTATAAACTAAAACCTCAATTTAGTCATACCCTTCTTCACCTAGTATTAAAATTACAAAAATAGACATCAATGATTAAAATTTACTCAAAATAATCAAAAGGGAATGCATCTGTAATTTGTTTGAGTAAGCATCAGTTAAAATAATTACTCATTCCTCTGCATTTGGAAATTAATAACATGTACTGATAGAAACCATAGAATAAAACTCATACAAAATAGAAACATATTTCCATGCTTATATCGGAATGCAGATATGTTGGGGTATTCAGAAAATACCCCAGAAATTATCCAATGCTATTCCTGAATGAGAAGTAGTGTCATTTCCCCATTGGTCAACATTCTTCCAACGTGTCATCTCCTTATTGGTCAATATTTATTTGTGTCATTTCCTGAAGGTTAAATCTTGTACAAATGTTACTTTCTATTTTATGGTACGATGTAGTCTGTTTGTTTGGTATATAAACAGTGTATGTTTGAAATATAACGATTCATATCTCCGAGGCTGAGACTTGTGTTCTGGACTCAATTGGCTGGGCTAGACAGGGAAGCAGGACCAATCAGAGCTCTAGGCTGCTCGCTCGTGTTTTATGCGTCACTGTTTCGATCGATAATAGGCTGCTCTCTAATAGGCGGATCACACGTTATAACAAGATATTGTGTACATAATTTGTTTGCACAAAGATTATCATCTCTATATTACATCAGATAACAGATATGGGTAACTACGAATAAGATTTCGCAGGATTTTAGAAAAGTTCTTAGTACTTTTGATTGATTCACATTGTCTCTGTCATTAGCTTTGGTGATAACTATTTCTCTATTTTAATTTCAGCGATTGTCATTCGTTCACATTTACAGTGTATGCTACTAGTATTAGTCATAAAGGCGAACCTAATTGTAGTTCTTACTTATTATACAATTGACAATACTGACCCCTTGTTCTGTTAGAATGCTTCTTATGACAAATGATTAAAATTGAATACCATCATTTTCTCTACTAAAAACTAAAATATTCCAAACAAGTTTTTTATTAATTTAAAGTGAAGCATCTGTAGTGAGTGGATTAGTTGATAATTTCATAAGTACCTCAAACATTTAGATTAATTTCATAAGTAAAAGCAACACATCAGTTTTAATATTAAGTATGTCTATGTAAAGTTACTATGATAACAAAGTGTAAGTGATATTGTATATTTAATGTTCCACCAACAAATGTATTATTATTACTATTTTCTTTCTTTGTCTTTTATTTACCCTCCATTTTTAGACTCCGAAATTGATTGGTGTGTTAAAGTACATCTACTCAAATCTTGAGTTATTACCACCTAATGAAGTAAGGGAAAGTATTTATAATTTTTCGAATAAACTTTGATTATCTATTCTCACTTTCTCATCTATTATATGCGGTTATTATATGTTTAAAAGTTCCTCAAAGATAAAATAAAAAAAACGATCAAACATGACAAGGGTTATAAATGAAATAGTCTATCTTCGTACTTGTATCGAAACTACCAGTTTACTTTGAATACTTTTAAATATATATTTCATGCATAAATGTCTATAATCAACAATCAATAATTTTGGATTACTTTAATATCTTAGTTCTAGGCTCTTTGACAGTTATTTCAATCCTGTCAACAAACTTTTGGAATTAAAAAAACCATTATTTCTTTATTTTTTGGTTTTCAGTAGTGAAACTAATAACATAAATTTAAAATATTTAGTAATTCACTAAATTTTTAAAGCTTAAGTTATAAACTTCGTTAACCAAATGTCACCTACAAACTAAAGTAAATAAATTTATAACCATATGTCAGTATGTTCAATACTTAATCAGTAATTGCTAACAAAGCACACAAAAACATCCATACAATACTTACATCTAATAGTTTATTTCAATATAAATAGTTACGTGGCTTCAATAAATTACTTATATAAAGCACAATGTTATCAGTCTACATTATAATTAATGCATTTTGAATGCATTAAATTGAATATATATTTCAGTACACATACTATATAAACTACCCTAATTTAGTACAATGAATTTTTCCTATTACAAAAGTTAGTTTGAATCATTTGATTTTAACTACGTGTTATATTTGATCAGTTAACTTCAAAAATAGGGCTTATTTAATAATGAAACAGTTATAAGATCTCAAGAAATAACCATTTGTTCTCAAATACAAAACAAACAGTTACTATCTTATCTGTTAGCAGAAAAAAATTAGTAAAGTTTACTGACTGTTCATTATTGGTTGTATAATTCAATGTTTATTTAAAGTTGCAGTCTGGTATTTGTCATATGGTCACACGTTTATTCCATGTCACACTTCAACTGGATGATTAGCTTATACAGTAGCCTCTTTGAGCTCTAAAATGATAGTTTAAACATAAGGTCAAAGAGTTATAACATAATTCCAACTAAACCTTAATTCTGATTTATAAGTTCCTCTTGACGTTTTATACCACTGATTATTATAATGGCATTTGCTGTTAGTAAAATTTATAAATATAAACTTTAAAAATGTCCCAAGGCTTGTGATAGAAAAGCGCATCATCAGTAAAAAGTCCCATGTTTGTTTTGTATATTTGGCAAACCCAAAATTTAACTGAAACCATTAATATAAATGAGCCCCATCTAACAGGTTTTGAAATTTAGGTCTATGAGAAAAGTGTAATTATAAATAATCATTGATCAGTGATGGCCAACACAACGACTACTATTAATCATGTTAAGAATCGGTTACATCCTCACACTGACTTTGCACTGTGACCAGTACATTTTGCATAATAAATAAAATTTAAATTCTATTTAAGAACTAATATAACGAAGCTTCCAAGTTAATCATGTTTTCAGGTAGTTCGTCAATTCACCATGTACCTAAAGTCCTAGGTAGCATACAGTTAATAAAGACGTAGATAAACCTTGTATGAAAATAGTGAAGAAGCATAGCATCTAACTCCATTTTTCCACAAATCAACACAATGCATCCAACAATATAACAAGAGACATTGTTTTATCGTATCACAACTGAGTAACCTGAATTGATTTAATTATCTTTAAGTTTTTTTAGACACTAAGTTCGTAATAATAGAATTTGCTGCCATCGTCATCTGATCACTACATGTACATAATCAAGTTTGAAGCGGAAAGCTATTATTGTCTGGTGAGAACTGTTCATTGACGAAGACGTTTTTGTGTTGTGCAATGTGAATTCCTTGGGTCAAACTTTCATCACAAACGAAAATATTACACTAGACAAATTCCTAGAACATATTAGAAGTTTATATTTTTACTGTTGTCCATTTTATTTGCATTTTGCGCTTTAATCCAAATTATGTTACACACAATTCCTTAGGACATTTTAAGTAAATCAGAACATTCTACGGATACCAGGATTTTCGAAACTACTGAGGAAAATAATCCTGATTTGATTCAGCTAATAGATATTAGTGACAACACTGTCTCATCTCACGAAAAAAACAATGACAATGAAAATATTCAAAAACGATACACAAGTAATGGACACAACGTTCCGTACAATAAAGTAAGTTCAATCAAAATTAATTACAATTTAGATGACTTTATCCTCAGTCAGTCTGACTGTTGCTTTTTACATATTTAGGATACCACAGTGTTTATGTCGCAAAGTTTTGTGTAAGCTTTTGAAAGATAATTTAGTTATCAAGTCTTCAAGTTTAAGAACAGTTAGATTATTCACTTGACTGATAATCTCAACATTGCAAAACAACTTATAAATGAAATTACAACGAAGATTACTCATAAGTTAATCTATAAACTCTGTAACACTTCGGAACAATGATATCAAATGAGACATTCACCTTTTACAACTTAAAAATACTACACAAGTCTTTGGTCTGTTTATAACCGACTGAATCAAGTGTCTTTCAGAAATCTGGTGTAGTTGAATGTGTCAAAATCTATTAAGTTCTTTCAATTCAACCAACACTTATTGAAACCAAGAAGGAAATGTGAATTTAAGTCGATTATGGTAATATACTGATCAATAACCGTGATGATTGTAATTACATAACAGATTCTCAGCTGGCTTCTAGTCAAATATGAAACAAGATTTAATGAACAAGAAAGACTAATTTATAATATGTTATCATCACTATCGCCATTTTATAATTATCAAGTCAGATATTCTGCTCACTCTGTGCTGTATACTTTTTTATAATCACTTGCAAAAACTTTTGGTTCTGGTTCAAAATTTTTGGGAATATGTGATGCCACAAACTATGGTTCTGTTAGAAGAAGTTCAGCATATCGAGTTCTTAGTTTACTCCTTATTAATCCTTCCACTAATGACTAGCTTTTAAGGAATTCCACGTTGAGTGTCGTCAGATATATAAACAAAAATATTTTCACAGTCACCACTGATGTGCAGTCCCCCAGTAATTTTTTCAAGGCAAGTTTGGAGTGTAAACAAGCCTCTACGTTACTCCATCTGACCGTTAGTGCTAAGATTGGGGACTTAGTTTAGTCAAGGGCTTCAATTCAACAATAGTTAATGATCATTTGAAAATTAAAAAGAGAACTAAGGCCTTGTGAAATACACGACAAGGAAGGATATTAGACAGAGATGGAAATATTTTCATGGAGGTGAGTGAAACAACTGGATATACTTCAGGCTACCTTCAGCCGGCATCGTCTACAAGGACAGTAATGTACACATTTAATTATGCCAGTCTTTCTGCTTTTGCCTTGCATAATGCTGAAAGAGGCACTGAAATTTTTATCGCTCACTGCTTTAAAGGGCGTTGGTTGACGTATTATTTGATATTGTTATCTGTCTATGGCTATTAGACGCAGATTCTAGCGATAGTTCTCCTTCGTTTGATACCAGAGCGGTTGAAATGGAACTGGTGAAGGTTTTAATGTTTTTCTCCAAAATAAGGATAATCGGAATAGCTTAGAGTAACCGTCATCTTCGGGAGAGTTGGTGCACTTTGTTGTTTAATACTACAGACTATATGGTTTCTGTTCTGTCTTTAGATCCGCTTTTTATCACGTAATTTATTCGCCAATCGAAATACGATTCATCCGCTCTTGCACCATACTAAACCAATTACGTCCGACCGGTCTGATCAGCCTAGCGTCCTATTGGTCCTTTGCTCGCCTAACCCGTCCAGCTGAGTCCAGAATGCCAATAACAGCCTCCACTATGCAAATCATTTATTTCAGACATACTGGGTTTATATATCAACCAAACAGGCCACAATGTACCATAAAATAAGAAATAACATTCATACACAATAAGGCCAAAAAGTGGCTGTGAACGTGGGAGACTGTAACAGTAAATCGGACAATAATAATATATAGGTCAAAGTGAAGCTTATAATAAGATGAATATAAATATAAACAATCTAGTTACTGAATAGTTATACAACAAAAATATATAGATAATACTAGTCCATTAATAGGTCTCAGAAGTTACTTGTAATTTAATCTTCTCTCGGATATAATAGTTTCCATGAGACGTCTTTCCGCTTGAAGATTGTTAACTTGTCGAGTCCTTTCTCTTGCTTAAAGTGCTGCTACATAGTCTGTTATCCGGACATCAGCTACGATGTAGCTTTGATGTAAGTATGATTACTCTCCCATGTACCACAATAAGATATCTGCACGTTCAAAATCCTGTTTGTAGATAATGGATGGTGAAGTTGTATCCTTGGAGTGGAAGGACCCAGTGCTGTAACTTCCCCGCAAAATGAGGTAGTACATCAAAATATGAACAAAATGTTGAGAACAGAGTTTTATGATCTGTAAGGAGAGTGGGTTTTTTCCTTAGATCAGCTTGTTGAACTTGTAAACCGCAAATCCTAGAGCTAAATACTCTATCAGTTTTTTCATACTTTTGGCTGCTTATTTCTATTATAATGGACGCCTTCAGGACTGTACGTTTTTATCCGTTTGGAAATGCGTGTAGTGATACTGTGGTGTGTGCTACTTATGTAGACATAAGTAGTATATGACGCGAGTTAGGAACGTAATGTCTGGCTGCAGAAGATGGGGGAAGATCAACAAAGGGAGAGCGAAAACACAGTTGAATTTGTATGGAAACTCATGAACAATGAAAGGACAGACAATCGATTGATGTTTGCAACAGGAATAGTCAAGTTGGATATGATGGATTGTTATTTTGCAAATTAACAATTCACTATATGATTGTTAGATTTTACTAACTAGTTCTGTAATTTGTCGTCCAATGCATTCGATTGTCCCCACTGGTGCGTGTAGTGACATGAATATGAAGGTCATATAAGGTCGGAGGTTAGTAGGACTTAAAGCAGGTTTGAGCTATTTTGATGTATTCCTGAATTTATTTAACTAAGTCCACGGAACATTGTTACATAGTTGCCAATTTAAAAATACTTAAAGTGGTAAAATGAGGAGTAGCAGTGTATTATTCTTCTAATCGAAGAAGGAAAACATTTTAATAAGATTCGATAACGTTCTACTTCGCTTCCAAAGGTATTCAAATGCTTTTGAGACCATATAGGATATTGTTTAAGTATATTGAAACTCTGAAGACATTAGCCAGAACTGTCCTCACCAACTATTGGAAAGTAGTTGCTGCTGTTTTTAGCCGATTGATAGTTGATTATATTAAAGCAGTCCCAGATATGTGTTAACCATTAGTTACACCCGGGACTTGTGTTATGCTTTTATTTGGAAGTTCGTTCCAGCTAAGTTGAATTAAGCTAAATATTTTCATTCTTTGAGGACAATACTAAGATTATTCTAGAGGTACGTAATGATGTAGTGTAAGGTTTGAATTCGGTTTAGTGGGAAGCTGAAGACGATTCTAAGTGAACCGTTGACATTCTTTATCACAACTCCTGGAGTTGCTTAACCTGAGTATTACACATGCATAATGACGCCCTGTTACTCAAATTTCCGCAACTTGACAGGAACAACATTCATGATAAATAAGAAACAGATTTTTTAAGGTATTCCAAAGTTATGTTACTTTTGAGTGACAGAAAGAGTCATTTTTTTATGTACAGTGACCAAATCCTACATTGAAATCAATTAAAAATTCTTTCAGTGACTATGATAAGTCCCAAGGGATTATTGACCGAATGTCATTGCAGGTTGAGTTAAGTGATATATTTCTCGGTACGAAACCTCCGCATTAATCTTGCACGAGAGGATTTAGTTCTATGTCGGTGATATAGAATTCCCTATTAGATACCTATACGAGAAAACAGATACAATGTCGTAATTCCATAAAAAAGTAGAAGATAACCACCACACTCCATACTACTGTTTTTATGTCTTACTTACTTCTAGAATGTCGAGTTTTCTCCAAATTTCCTGCGGCACTACTGTGGTTTGTGAAGTACTGTAAAGTTGCAAGTAGCAAGACTGTGTGGTAATTCCGATTGTAATGATAATTAAATAAGTTGCCGTTAAATCCATCGATATGTCCCCCGATTTATCTCACAATAAATGTTGGCTTCATAAATTAGTAAAGAGTGTGTTCAGCTTACAAAATCTATCATTGTATTCATGAGATTACATTTCCTGCATTAATGTCTTTAATGTTGGTATGATTTGGAAAATCCCATGTATTGCAATAACAGTCTATAAATAACTGATTTCTCTTCATTTCCCTGACTTGATATTAAGGTATAGTTCTGTGGATCCAGAAGCCCCGTAAATAAAACTGTATTTATGGTAAATTAAATGAATTTAGATACCAGATGGTTAAATGAAGTAAATCAAAAGATCTGAAACAAAGTTTTGTCCCACCTGGTATTAATTAACTTAGAGAACCTGAATTCTTGGTGAAAGTATATATTCTAAAATGTCCTACTTGATGAAACATTCAGAAATTTTATTACTGAAGTATTCAAATGCTTTAGTTGCCTAGCCGCTCAGTGGATGAGAGGCTCAGCTTTTAATCAATAAGTCCTAGGTTCAAATCTCCGCTACGCACTTTGGTTTAGGAAACCGTGTGATATCAAAAGCCCTTATACTTTGTATGTTGCTCATATTAGAGTACCTAATGAATTATTAAATTACTAATTGTTTACTTTACAAATTTGAACTATTGGACTAGGCCAGAATAAATAGTTAAGTAAGAGTATACTGATTATTACAGGACGACAAATTAATGACGTCACATCATGCAGTATAATGCACGTTGTTATGCTACCTCAAGGTAACAAAACATTCTATCATCATTTCTAATATTATTGTAAATGATTATGATTCTTAGTGCAATCAGTACACCATAACTAAGTAATTTGTCATATTTCAATCAAATTTCAATCAGTTAATGTCATTTATTCACTTATATGTTTAAATTAATATTAAAAGGATGGTGAAAAAAACTGGATAACTTTCGATGATCATTTCGAAAACCAAGGGATTAGCTGGGAAAACTCTACACCTAAAAATCTAATGTCTCAAAATCTTCATAATCAACCATTCGGTAACAATGATCTACATTTCTGTAAGTTAATTACAATTCACACATAGTTCTTAAATTCCATATAACGTCAGTATCTAAATCAGTTTTATCAACTTGAAGTGTTAACTACTCTTGTTTGATCAATCTGATTAATAGTGGTCAAATTTACCGGCATGAATTTCAGATTTATAGTAAAACATAGTTTTACCAGTTATATTTATTTATTTTATCTCAAATATGTTACATACTATTTCTACACTAAATAATTATGATTCTCGGTAAAATCAGTATTCCAAGATTAAATAATTTGATTTATTTCACTTTAGTGTCATAATATATTTTGTCAATAGAATTTGTTCAGTTAATTTGTAGTGCCTGGTACTATGTCAAGCCCACATAGGTTATTCTAACTTACAGACAGACCAATTTATTCATTCTCCTAAAACCACATTTTGACCTTGTTAATTATTCGCTTATCGATATTGACTGGTTTTATGTGAGCATATGTTCGCGAATTTCTTATCTTACCATACATTTGTAACTTATTTTTGTTTGACTATAAATATCGATCCACGCTTGATCAGATGGTGTTGGCTCACATGCCTTCCCCGATCCGTTTCGCCTTTCTCTCTCCTCTCTATTTCTTTTCCCCAATCGTCTGTCTCGATTAACGTAAGCCTGAAATAAATTCCTCCAACTTGACTCATATTTGCCTTCTCATTACCACCGTCATACAAACGTAGTTAGCCTAGGTAATATACGGAGTTAAATGGAAGATTTATATTCATAGCTTATTCATACGTTCATTTAAATTAGAGTCAGATCAGCCGGTAACACAAAGCTTCTAAATCAGTTATAGGTATAAAATACACATTAGGTTGTATAAGTAAGATATGTTTAATTTACACTGATACAAAGAAACATATATTTACAAACTATAGAAATAAACTAATGAAACGACATATTACTAATCATTATAATAAATAAATAAAAATTATGACATTCAATAATAACATTAAATAAAAACTTAACTACACTGGAAACAAATAGTACATTTCAATAATCATATATTATTTATTAAGTGGTTATTTCTTGAATAATGGATTTTTCTTCCGAATACTATAGCAAAATAAAATAACATTAAAATAAGAAAATATTCTCATTTTGCATTTGATGTATTTCGCCTATTTGTCTCTATAGTATATAAATATTATTTACAAATATATAAATATATAAACGAAGAGTATTCTTTTCAATAATTTCTCATCAGGTTCTACAATTATATATCCAAATTAATAATCCATAAAATTGGTCAGATTTAATGCAGAGTACATCATTCATTATTTTCTCTCTCTCACCTCATGTTGACCATATTTATTTTCACCATTTATCACACAAATTCATTTCGCTTGTAAACTAATTCAAGTTAACACTTCATAATATTCAACCCCAACATTAACGATCTGATTTGATTTCACATAACAAACAACAATTCTTGATTAACATATTACAATTTCTAAATGATGTACTCTACCTTAAATCTGGTCAATTTTATAGATTAATAATTTGGACTTATAATTGTATAACCTAATGAGAAATTACTGAAGAGAATATTCTTCGTTCAGACAATTGTGTTTTAATATAATGGAAATTTTTCAGCGATTAAAGTATATAAGTATTATTCGTTTAAATAAACATTGAAATAAAATTCATTAAAAATTTTTTAAACTAAAAGATGGAAAAAATCATTCATGAACGAAACTCTGTTAAATTTTATTATCAATAGCTTTTGTCTAATATTAATAACTTCAATAGTTGAAGTCATGAGTCAACTGAAGCTAGACCACCATCGAAAACCTGCAAGCATTGGACGGCCGTTTCGTCCTAGTATGTAGCTCCTTAGCAGTGCGCATCCATAATCCCGACCCCCCAGGACCTATCCCTTTCGTGCGCGAGCACTTAACCATTAGACCACTGAGCCAGTACCCAACGGTATCTAACTGCTGAGGAGTCCCATACTAAGACGAAACGGCCGTCCAATGCTTCCAGATTTTCCATGGTGAGCTAGCTTAAATTGACTCATGATTCCAACTATTGAAATTACTCAAATCTCCACAAAACCCCTTTTGATAATAATAGAAACTTATAACATATTCGAAGTATATATATTATACGATAATTAGGTTATTTATACATTTTACAATGTATTTCATTGTGAATTATATAATTAAATTGAAATATTTTGAAAATTATTTGAATTTTTACTAAATACTCTCTATTTGTTCATAATATTTAGTTTCACAAATCAATATGAATAATCAAATGTCCAAACATAATTCTAGTCCATTTATAGAAATGACTAAATGTACAACACAAAACACTTCGTATTTAAAGTCATATTCAACAACAGCTAATATTTGGTCAAATATACCACCTGCTATTCAAACTGTAAGTTAATGTTTTTTTATATGGTGGCACACATCAATATAGTCACTAAAACTCATTCGAATTTAGAACATTAAAAATTTACACATAGCCAGTAGTGATTGATTTGAAATGATTCTGATTGTTGCAGTCGATTTGTTACATTCTTTATAACCTTACTTATTGATTGAGATATTTATTGATAAAATCGATCTTTGTTCAAAGTGTCATTGTTTTATTTATTGTACTACTTTTCCTTCACTTGATAAATATTATATGGAGACTTTCAAAAAAGATGAGGAACGTCATGTTACATTCAGACTCTTTACAATATGTCTTCAGTCGAATTCGAACAGTATTTTTCGTAAATATTTGTACAAAACACAAAAGTACCAACTTTGTAATATAATTACTTTTTGATTAAAATTTCAACCAGTTCACCTTAATAATATATAGTCTGATTTAAACATTTGAATATAACGATTAAAATTAAATATTGATTGGTTTTAACCACTTTTTTATTACATTAATTAAACAGTAAAACTGCCTAACGAATAAATAAATTTCAATGGTTGAGATCATAAGTCGCTTAAATCTGGACCACCATAGAAAACCTGTAAGCACTGGATAACCGTTTCGTCCTATTGTATGACTCATCAGTTGTGCTCATCCACGACCTCTCACTCCGCAAAATTTGAATTCAGGACCTATCAGTGTCGCGCGTGAGCGCTTGACCACTAGACCACTGAGCCAGCCTGCATCCAACGGTGTTAATGTCTAACTTCAACTAATTCACGAAATTGAGCTTTGTTTTTCAATAATTACCCACTCTTTAGGTTTCTAGTAATGATGTGCCAAAAATGTAGCTATTCAATATACAACTATTGTTTTATAAATACCAATACGTTACCATTTACTATCTATTGATGATTATTAATTTGAGAATTTTCTTAACACGTTTGCTGAAGTAACAAAACAATCTAATGGTACGAATTAATATTTTATATGACTTTCTATTAAAAAAACAAACCATATTAGAATATGTTTTATACTAGAAAGTTAAATCTTTTTCTGGAAAGTTTCACAATTCATAAAAGGTTAAAAGTATATTACACATGTTTATTATATACATTAAAAATATCATAATTTATAAATTTACAAACTTGGAATTTTTCGATGACATAATCGAAAATTATGTCAGTTATTCGGAAATATTAGAATGGTTTTATAGACAAAACGATCGAATTTCTACCAATGGTTTCGACACAATTTCAAGTTGATCATATATATATATATATATATATATATATATATATATATATATATATATGTATATATGATTTGTTTATTATGTGTTGTTTGAATTTCTAAACGAATAGACTTCTGTCATCTTATTAGATATTACTTTGCATTGTACTTGCAAATAAATAAATAAATAACTGAAATATTTTGCCGAATAATATGTAAATTATTTATTCGCTATAACTTTTCTTGTTGTAAACATCTGATATAAATTTGTGATATATACGTATATACATGTATAAATTCAACAAATTACCTATTATTGAATAAAAGTTTTAGTATCATTTATTACATAGATTAGAAGTAAATTTGCATAAATATAAGAAACTGTTTACTTTTATCTAAAAGTATAACTTGATAAATAAAATGGAAATATGAATAGTTCTAATAGATATGTGCGCTTTATTTGTGATTATTATTTGTTTGTTTTTTTTGACGTAGCTAGTAAAAACTACATTAATACAGTTTCAAATGAGTAGTAAATTGTTTAAGAAAAATCAGTCAAAAAATTTATGGATATATCATTATAGATACAATTGAAAATAAATACATTTGAAAAGTATATTTTTACTTATATCCTAGGTTGATTTTATTGAGAGGAATTATGTTTATACAGAAATAAATGACAAAATTAAAATTTCAGAATAAGATTATACTACTCACCTGTTAGGGACGTTAGATCCCCAGAACTCACTTGGAAAATGACCTAATTTTGTAATTTTATTTAGAAAATTTGGATTTCTTTGTTTTTGCGCCAAAAGCGCTCTTATCACCTTCATGTCGTATTTCCCACTGGGAAATATCTTAAATGCTATTGGTCCGTTGAGTCTTTTAGTATCCTATTTGGCAACTCTCCCCAAGGACGGTTTTGTGCTGTATATATATACGTTTTGATTTGTGTTTGTTGTTATCGCTTGTTTCTGGCTTTTTGCAGAATATACTTCCCCATTCCAAGCTTAGACTTCTTCCTCTAGTTAGCGGGGCTCGGTCGCATCAGAATATCTAGCTTATTGGTTTTTGGTCACCGAGACTTTGTTCTCGTTCGCAGATTAAGTGAACTCGTGGTAGCTTCAAACCTAGCATCACCAAAATCTGAATATTTAATTCCATAATAAGTTAAATACTCAAATTTAATTCTATCTACGCAAACACTGAACATGTAGGAGAGGAAAAGGGGATTACTGTAAAGGAGAGGTTTATAAATAAATGAATGTTGTTTCGAAAACACCTTAAATAAATAACTACTTATTTTTGGTTGTCAGTGAATGTTAAATGAGCATAAACGAATTGTTGATCAGGGACAAGTTCTCAAGTTTTTACCTAATATCCAGTGATATCACTAACTGAATTTTTACAAATCTAATTTTTAATGCAAGGCGTTGGTTGTTACCTTTTTTTTCTTCTAAATCAAAATAACTATTTGTTTGGTGTAACTCAGCAGTTTGAGTGTACCTTGTTTTTATTTATGATATAATATATAGTGGATTTTAGTTTCAGTTTTCTTTGCTAATTATACTTTGATCCTTATTGTAGTATGATAACATGCATTATGTTTTCAATTTCAGACTAAAATATCCTCAATGGATGATCATTTTTGTAACTGGACAACAACACAGCATATCCAAACTGAGCCAAATAATGTGTATACTAATAATAAAAATGTGACCAATAATCCATTTTATAATTTATCGGTTGGTGATAATCATTTAAATGTAAAACAAACTTCTCCACTTGATACAATATTTGATATAAAATTATTCAACTGAAAATAAAATCTTTAATAATTTCTCATCATTATATAATTCTTTTATTCACTTTACCCCTTAATTTCAAAATTTTAAAAAATTTGTTTATTCATCTGACAGTAAAAGAACAACCATATTTTGTAACCCCTCATTTCGATTTTTTTTTTTGACGTAATGCGTCTTAGTCAATGATTTTTCTTCATTGTGATCTTTCCGTTTTTTTTATAAACATTTTACAATTGAACAAGGAATTATATTCCCTTATGTGTATTCTTGAAAACCTAAATGTATTTATTGAATATTTGACTGATAACTTTATCACACTGAAAATAAACTTATCCTTTATATCAATCTGATCAGTCGATTCGTTTACAGATTACCTAGATAGATATTCATTGTAGATATTAGGAAATTTTCAATAATGAGATTTTGTATGTCTTTAAATACAACACATTTGACTTAATAAAAAGATTAAAAATTTTATTTTGAGGACTAGAACAAAACATATCACAAACAAAGTTGTTTTCAGTAAGATCTTAATCAAGCTTTACTCAAATATACAGTAATATTAAAATATATCGGAAATATAAATCAATCAGGCAAATTTATGAATCATTGATAATAATGAAGTAGATCATATAGTTAATTATAATTTGCTGATGATTGATCATTGAGTGGAAAAATATCAGGTCAACTAGTAGTAATAAGGATAATAATGATTAGCCAGAACAATTAAAACATGCCATGAAGCCTACTGTTGCTTGCCATTTTCCTGTTAACTAATAGAATTTGTTAAAATAAAGTATCGGTTACCTGTTTTTTCCACTTCAATGTCCATCGATCAATTAAGTTATTTCTGTGACGAAAAATAAATCGAAAATTCCATCAATTTATGTAACCAATGTGTGAATGAACATCTTTTATTCTCTGAGGAAGTGGCCTACACTAAGTCAAGAAACGTCAGAAAATCTAATTTCTCTACTCATTGGGATATTACAAATATATTATTTATTTATCTTTTTGAGTATTCTGGATACATCTAAACAAATCATATGCTTAGCTCTGTTTTATCATATTTGGTTGATTGTGATCATGTAATAGATAAGACGAAATCCATTGTAGTGATCTACTATAAATTTTGACAATAAGGATGAAATTACAGTAACTGACCATAATCTGTGTTTGGGACGTTTAAATAAAACGAAAAAATTTAATTTAACTGTCATTATGAGTTTAATTCTTTCTGTGATTATTCTCAAAGTCGGAATATTTATTTTATTCAGTCGGTCTGTATTAATCTACAGATTGTAAAAACGGCATAGCAGCAAATAAAACAAGATTAGTTAGAAGTATATTGTGATTTCGTTCCTTAACTCATATTTGGTTATACTAATTAAGTACAAGAATATAACGAACGATTAATCATCGAGGATTTACTTTTAACAAAAAACTTGATGACAAATCTGCAGTTTATCATAAATCACAATCACCATAATGAATGAATCAACAAAAGGCGAGAAATTACTATTAAATCCGTAACGCTATCTGATAAACGCTCATTTTAGAAAATATAAACAATAAATTAACTACATAAATATCGATGTTTATTCACATTATTTAACAACAAATTCCGTCTAAGATATTTTCAAAAATTTACAAAATACCCTATAATAATATTAAACGTAGTTTTGTAGTGAACACGAGCACAGATGGAGACAATCAAATGTATTTGTCACGAAATTACAGAGCATCTCAATAAAATCTGAGAACCATATAGTAAATGCTCAATTTGCAAATTGACCATCAATTGTCTCAAAATGACTCAGACTTCCTTTGTTCTTGCATTTTCATATAAATTGCATTCTGTTTCCACTCTTTACCGTTCGATCCTCTTGTCTCTCCTGCTAGACATTCTGTTCATGACTATCGTCACATACTACTTATGTCGGTATAAGCGACACACACCACAGTGTAATTAAAAATTTCACTCAAAGTATATTTCACTTTAGAAATTACAGTACGACAACAACCTCACTTTAACAATTTGTTCGTGATTCTTTTATAAATTCCATAATTTAATAAAACAAAATAGATGAAATTTCACCTGCACTGGAGTCCAAGCCTTGTCAAACGGATGAACCTGCATTTGAGTTTGTGTTCACTCTGGGACTCGAGCCCTATACCGTTCTTTTCAAATGTCATCACGTTACCCTCTCAGTAGGTGAGTACAGACTTATATCATGTTGGCTTTATAGAGGACATGCTCACAAGATGTGCATATGTCAATCGAATCTGATTAAATTTTAGTCAAAATTTCAACAATTCAAAAACTGGTTTAAATTGAATTAAAAACTTGATATTTGTCTAACTGACCCTAAATATTTTGGCTTTCAGTCAGATGCCTGTTTACAACAAATTATCTTTCATGAATTTCACGTTTTCAAAATTCTCTGGTTACGTAACTTTTTTTTATTTTGCATTCATTAGTAAACTATTTTCCTTGTTTGGCCTCAACTTTTTATAACAACATTTAAGTAATGGCTAAAGTCATTCATTATTAAATAACAGCTCTCACCATGATATTTCAGTTGCATGAATTCAATCATTATCATAGTATTAATAGACTAATGAAATAAATATATGTTGGACCGGAACTATTTGTTTTCAAAATCCATTAAAATGAATGAATAAAAATGAAAGTTAACCTAGTTATTATAATGTTCATTGTGGTGTGTGACATATCTTCTTTCATCATACGAAATGTATATATTAACATCGATTTAGAACATGAATAAGTGAACAATATTGTTTTCAGTTAGATCCTCATCAGGTTTAACTCTGATATGCATTAATATTTATTTACATATACGAAATTATTAAACCAATTAAGGTAGTTTATGAGTCAGTGGGCGTCCCATCTTGTCTCTTACGCATAACAGAAGCCATAGGAATTCGGACTAGCAATCCAAGTCTTTGCATAATTAAAATAACCCATAGTGTCATTGAATAAGAAAAAGAGAATTCAGCAAAGAAAATTTTTTTCGACGAAATCATTTACTTAAGCTGTACATTCATATATATAGTTATATCAAAAATGTATATCTATAGATGGATAGAAAGGATTGTATCACAAAAATGGATTTGAGAATAAATAACAAATGAGGTTAGCGTACCAATCAAGGGGTAAGGAAGAACAAAATTTATGGGTCAGAAATAGTCCAGTTGACAGATATGAACAAAAGCGACAAACACAAAGGTCATAATAATAGACTGAATAATAATCAAGATAACTCGCACAAGGTAGTAATAATAATAACTAATTAGAGTTTAAAATGCAAAATAGTAATTTAAAAAATATCGATAATAATTAATAATAATGATTATCTGACCCATAGATTTTGTTCTTCCTTACCCCTTGATTGGTACGCTAACCTCATTTGTTATTTATTCTCGAATCCATTTTTGTGATACAATCCTTTTTATGATTAAGATCATGAGTCAGTTGAGGCTAGACCACCATGGAAAACCTGGAAGCACTGGACGTCCGTTTCGTCCTATTATGGGACTCCTCAGCAGTGCGCATCCACGACCTCGCCCACTGCGAGATTCGAACCCAGGACCTACTGGCTTCGCGCGCGAGCACTTAATCAGTAGGTCCTGGGTTCGAATCTCGCAGGGGGCGAGGTCGTGGATGCGCACTGCTGAGGAGTCCCATAATAGGACGAAACGGACGTCCAGTGCTTCCAGGTTTTCCATGGTGGTCTAGCCTCAACTGACTCATGATCTTAATCATTGAAATTACTACAATCTCCACAAAACCTCTTCTGATAACAATCCTTTCTATCCTTCTATAGACATACATTTTTGATATAACTATATATATGAATGTACAGCTTAAGTAAATGATTTCGTCGAAAAAAATTTTCTTTGCTGAATTCTCTTTTTCTTATTCAAGTCTTTGCATTCATAAGAAATTTATAACTTCCTTAAATTCTCCCTTGGCTGAATAAGCCTTAATAAAAGATTATATTTTATAATTATTTTCCATACACTTTGTTCGTTCATTTTCTTCGCCCACCTATTTTCAAATGTATACTTCATTGTCCAACTATCTGAACACACCATGTTACGTAATCTTATAATTTTTATGAATGTTATTTCAGTGTCTATATTTTCCAGATTATTGACCTATTACTTATTATGAAACACCGATTCAAGCTTTTGTTATTCTTATCAAAACTAATACATCTTCCATAACACTATCAATTTGTACTTTTACTTAATCTATTCTGCTGTTATCATTGACTCATAAACTACCTTAATTGGTTTAATAATTTTGTATATGCATATAAATATTAATGTGTATCTGAGTTAAACCTGATGAGGATCTAACTGAAAACAATATTGTTTGCTTATATATATCATCCTTTTGTCTAGATTTTGGTAGCCACCCTACCTAAAGATAAATTGGCGATCGTTACTTTTAATTGCAGACTCGAACACTCTATGCGATTTTGCGTATTCAAGTCATGTAAATTTCGATAAATTATAATATTATTCTCATCTTCATCTCGTTATACCAATGAACAAAAAATTTAAAATGAATTTTGTGCAAGGTCTGACTATCTCGCTCATTCGGCAGAATTCCCTAAGACCGCAAAACGAAATATTTTTTTGAGTTGTATAAATCTACCAACTCGTCTCTGTTTTATGTTAGCTGCTTATTGATTGGCATTGGAATTTTTGTCCCAGAGCATAAAGCATCAACTGCTAGAAAAACATAAAGTAATTCTGCTACATATGCACAACGTCCCCTAACGCCGAATCACTTAAAAATTAAGGAAAAAGCAATTAATGCATCAATAATTATCTATATCCTTTGGAAAAGTGCTAAGAATTGTTGTCTATGAGATTAAATGCTAAATTTCGAAACAATCAGTGCTGAATTAAAATTTCATTTAAAACTTTACCATGACTCAAGTACATTAATTTAATCAATTTTAGATATAACTGCAGTCAATAAGACATAATTGACTGTTGAGACCAATCTGAAATGTGTAAATTTTTTAAGAAATTGGGATTTGCCTGATATATTAATTTTTTTCACGATACTTTACCTAAATGGATTTCTTTTTTCTTACTGGCTATTCTTAATTATTCTGTGAACTATTTTTAATATCTACGTTTTAATATACTTCTATGTATAAACTGATAACCAAAAAACTTAAATTTTGATTAAGCTTACATTTCAAAAACTTAAGATCATAATCTAAAGATGAAGTAATTCTTGAGTATCAAAGTAATTTTAGGAATAACTTGGATAGTATCTTGCTTTCATGTTCGCATGGATTGTTAGTTAATTTGATGGTACTTATTTCTTTCGTTTGGTTCTTTTCCTCCTGCATTTTCGTATATTTTATCACACTATTCATAATTAGTCAGTAGTTTGAAGCATTTAAATACTGTAGTATAAGCATACCTTTTTTCATCGAGCGTTTTCTTTCATTCATTAGTCTAATATTGTCAATTTATTGAT